CCTCCTCTCGGATTTTTTTATCCGGGCTATATCCGGTCTATATCCGATCTTATCCTATTCTGGACCACCACCAAACACATGATAGGATAAAACATATCATATCCTGGCTTTTATCCGGTCGACCAAATGCAGCCTAAAAGTACTTCTCCGCCTTTCAAGACTATTTGTGTCATTATTCATTTTTAAATTCTCGAGCTTATGAACCCAATAAGATTCTCAATGATCTTACTTATACGCGGCATAGAGAGCTGTACAAGTAATTTGACAAGCACAAAAATAAAAACACCCTTCTACAACTGATTTTCTTATTGGTTAGTTACAAATACGGTCATCCCCCACGTTTAGTTTTAGGTTTTGCGTTCGAGTGACGCCATAATTTGTAACTTATCAATCAAATGGAATGGCTAAAAGAAAACCGAGACAAGAAAAAAGATTGGGATACTTTAAAATCGGGATAAGTTTGTGTTTTAAAGTTTCTTTCTAAAAGACCAACACGTCATCAAAATACTATTTGGACGGCCATGATCAAATCTCTCTATTTTTCTCTTTCCTTTATCTTTTTTCCCAATTTCACTGTTTTTCCAAACTGCCCTTTTTGTTAAGGTTAAGGAATGTCCAAACAACCTACGGATTACCGAAGATAATGACGACCGAAAAGTAGCGAGCCAAGAGCGCTTACATAAGATATCTTGGACCAACTTCAAACTATACTTTCGTGCATATTATATTTTGGTCAGATAATTTCGTGCATTTCATAACAACCCGGCCCCCATGGATATCGAAATAGACCCAAAAATTGCCAAAAAAAGGGGCTTTGTCCATCTCAAAAGTCGTCATGACACGTGGCGGTACACGAGGCCGGAGTGCTAACTGGAATGAAGTGGATGATGAAATAAAATTAAAAAATCCCAAAATATTCGGACCCACTTCTCTTATGCCCCGTGAACAATGGAAGCGACGAAAGCTTACATTAAATAGCATTGTGAATCGCACAATGTGTTGGAACTCGGAGAGGCTTGGTTAGAACAGTTCCATGGATGAAATGAAGTGCTAATTATAGAAGATAACAGAAATTAGTGGTTACTTATCTAAGTGAATTGACCGTTCTATAGCATACCCAAATCAATCTCCGTTTGATATGGAATTTGATTTGTCAAGGGACAACGTAATCTCTATCGGCCAATACCAAAAAAAAAAAAAAACCAGCAAGGACAAAATGAACGGTGACTAATCAAAGAAATGTGCATTGAATTTTTATCACAAGGTATATTTACGGCACTAGTTTCGTAATCGAACAAAATATGATACTTTATCTACAAGACGGTGCAATGTGGATGATAGATGTTTTGAAAATCTAATAATCATTCCTCATTAAGTATGCTTAGCGAGTTCTTTCATAGCATTCGCTAACATACAATCCTCGATCAAACCATGATATGGGTTGTTTCACTTTTCATACCTATGTTATACGGTGATTTAGAGGAGCCCGCTCGAAAATCTTAAATGTATATGCAGAGCGTGCTTATCAGCTGAATTAACTCCTAACTTTCTGCAGGAAATTAATGGTTCATTTTACCTACTAATTACAAAAGATTGAACTGATATTTCCTTTTTCTTTTTTTTTAGAGTAAACAAAAAAACAAAAAGAAAAAAAAGACATAGATAAGGGTGACATAAAGCTGTAGATAGATCAAAGATGGAAGTAGCTAAAGTAACTAGGGCTGTCAAAAAAACCCGGCCCGACCCAGATCGGACCGACCCGACCCGGACCGGCCCGGAAATTTAGGGCTTTTTCGGGACGGGCCTCTTCTGGGTTGGGTAAGAGCTCAAAATTTCATATATTATCCTTATTTCGGGCCGGGCCGGTCCGGATCGGGCTTTATTAACAGCCGGCCCGTGACTTAAAAAAACCCTAGATTGTATCATCGACGTCTCTTTCGTCACTTCGTCTTCAAGCTCCCGCTCACCCCCTCTCTACAGGTTTGCAGTGAAGTCTTCGACGGAGATCCGGTGAACTGGGGATCCGTTTTCGTAGATCTCGCTCGCTATTCAGTCTTATTAGCGCACTCTGGTGTTTCAGCGTGCGTCTCTCCCTCTCCTTCGGTTTTGTGCCCGGTTGTCTCGCAGCTCAAACGAGTCGCGAAGGGCTTGCAGGGTGGTGCGTCTTCGTTCTCTCTTCCTCGTCGTCAACGACCCTGTGGTTCGAATTTCCTTCATTGTTCGGACCGCGTTGTTTGCTGGTGAGCGTGTCGCCGTGTCCGACGAGTCTCTTAAGCCCTTGTGATATTGATTCCTTCTGCTTTTATCTTCGTTCCTTTCTTGGTGACCGTGAGATGAATGGTGAGAGATGTTTGATTTGAATTTGAATCCATTCTCGACCTGGGTTTTCTTTTCTTTTTTTTTAAGCCATTTTTTCTGGGTTTGGAAGGTGGGTGGGGGATTTTGCGTTTTGGTGTGGGTTCTGAGAAGATGGCTGATGCGGGAAGATGAAATTGCTTCGACTCTGTTTTGGGTTCATTTGATTTTGACTGCAGTTCAGTGAAGATGACTGGAGCTGGGAATTTTAAATTTGTTTCGACTTTGTTCGTGTTTGCCCGCTAGGTGTCCGTGAAAATTTCTGAAAGAAATTTGACTTGAAAGTTTGAAACTTTCAGCATATTTTGTTCGAAATTCCGTTGGTTCCGACGCGATTTGATGGTTTTAGGCGTTCCTTGAATTAGAGCAACAGATATTCTTTTGAATGCTTCGAATTTCTTCTTTTAGTTTTGACCCGAATCGTTGCTTCGAATTCCCGAGTGATCGAATTTGTCAATCTACACAACAGGCTGCCGAGCTTAGAGTCGGTCTTATGCTTTTCTCATAGCTTTTATGTTAGTCGCATCGCGAGTTGGTGGTAACCTCTAAGAGACATGCTAATATGCTGTTGTGGAGTTTAAGATGTGTTTGCCATGGCACGGATCGCGGCATTTGCTCGAAATGATTTCACTCTTCGATTTGCAGCTGTTTTGCTGCACTCTCAGGTGGAGCACATTTCGACTGTGAGAGACCTCAAAAGGAGAGCTGAAGATTATAGCTTAGGCAATTATATCCTTTGCTTACCTAAGGTAAAAAAAAAAAAAACCGAAAACCCGGCCCGACCCGACTCGTCCCGACCCGGATTTTTGCTTTGGGTACTATGCTTTTTGGGCCGGGCCATGTCAGATAGAGCATGTGCCCCTTGTGATTTGGGTCGGGTCGGATATCATAGAAATCCGACCCGACCCATTGACACCCCTAAAAGTAACATCTTCAATTTCAATTGACCGTACTGGGCTTCGGTCCACGAATGAATACACATGTATCGCCAAAGCCCGCATCTGAGGCCCAAAAGAAAGATGGGCCTTTTAATTTCTTCAGCCCCACACTCGCTGAAGCATGGTGTAAACATAGGCCCTACTTCTTGGGTAGGTACATGTGTACTTGTCGGAAGATCGCCGTACGCAGAAGTATTTTTAGTCCGCGGTAAATACTTGAAGTTCGAATAAGAGAAATCTTCAATTTCGCCGTCATTTTTCACTTGAAAAAGCTCGTTCCCTCTTTTATTTTTCTTTTCCCGTGTTACTTGAAAAGCTATCTCTTGTTCACTTTATTGACGAGTTTATTGTATTTACTTGAAAATAGTAAGAAAAATGTGTTGGACTTGCACGCACGTACTCAAACTGTCTTGTGAATCGGTAGACACGGTTGTTGCGGCATTTAATTTTGCATGCTTGCCTTGCCTACAGATTTGGACCATCTCGTACATAGTTGTACACTCGCTGCTTGAGCCATCCACCGGAGTTTATAATTTTTTTTATTTAAGAAATGAAACTACCTCAATTCTAGGTACCCCAACAACAAAATCATTTAGAAACTTTACAGCTCTAGATGCCCCGGAAATCATTATCAAAGAACACTTATTGGGAGAGGGTTTTTTCTTTCTATAAGTCCTTAACACCTCTGTTGGCTAGGCAGTCGTCTGTTGGACTTAAACCTAACTAAAATAAGAAGGGATCTCCGGAGAAATCGCGGAGCCACCTATTAATAGTGATGGCAAAAGTGTATCGTGTGCGAATCAATCACTCACGAGCCTCTTATCCATTCTCATTCGATCACGACGGAGTAAGCAGTACTACGATCAGACTAGGATCATCATGCATTGAATAATATTCATGTATCAAATTGGAAAGTAAGACAATACGCGGGTGCAACTCTTTGTTGATTAATATGTATATCAAGAGTCTATGTGATTATGAGAATCTATTAACATAGGAAGGCACATTGGAGCTCTTCGCTTGATGTCCTGGGTCCTTGTGTTGATAGTGTCTTCACACTACCATAGCTTCTCGGCATAAAAGCGAGAGAGCTAATGATCGAAGAGGAATTGCTGAGTTGTTTGCTCCAGGTATTATTTCGTGACGTTCCATATATGAGTCTCTTCAAATGGAATTAGGTGCTATATTGGATCTGATTCAGATTTCCGATCCTACATAATCATTTCATTAAAAAATGAATGAATTTTTTTTGCTTTCATGCTTTGGTGAGTCTACGAGGTCATTTCGATGACCTATGTCGTGTTGAAGGGATTATATGGCACTTCCACAAAGGTTTTTTTTTTTTTTTTTGTTCGGAAAGATAAGTTTATCATTCACTAAGAAGGACCTGATAAAAGGGCATCGGTACATAAGAGCTCCCAAAGTGCTTGGGGAGGGGAGAAGACCCAATGTAAAGGTAGGTAGTTTTTTTTGTGGGCTTTAGCAACCTAGTCCGCTACAAAATTGGCCTCTCTATGACAATGAAAGACCCGAATACTAGAGAAGGATCGTAGCAGGTCTTTGCATTTCAAGATAAGCGCGTGGACTTCCCAACTAAGTGGATCTGGACTCTCTAAGCCATTGACTAAGTCCAAGTTGTCAGACTCAAGTATAAGGACTTCACGTCGTTTGGGAAAGAAGTGAGTTAGGGCTTCTAACAAAGCAAGAGACTCAGCCATCAGCGGGGACGACGTCGCCACTGTACGAGCTGCTCCGTCTAGCAATCTTCCGACGGAATCACGGCAAACACAGGCGACCGAACCGTCCGATGCTCCAGGTTCGTACGCTCCATCTATGTTTATCTTATAAGTTCCATACATCGGTGGATTCCAAGTCTCTGAAAATTCGTCGGCTTTGTTCCCGGATCTGCTTGATTTGGGGTTCCATCTGTTAAAACTCTTCAACCCAGCTAGAACAGCGTCGATGAGGCTGATTGTGTTGGGTTTTCTGTTCTTGAAGATGGCTTGGTTGCGCGCCTTCCATATATTCCATAGTGTTGCAGCAACCAGCTCTAGATTAGGTGAGTTGCTTGACTTTCCTTTCAAACTCCCGAACCAATCTTCAATTCGAGTAAGACCCTGACTTGATATATGAACATTCAGCACAGGGTTCGACCAAATTTCCTTCGTCCAAGGACACGATAAAAACAGGTGCTCCACAGTTTCCACTCCTCGATTGCATAAAGAGCATGTGGGATCAGGTATAACTTTTCTTCGAAATAAATTCTCTTTAGTTGGGAGAGCATTCTGGCATAAATTCCACATGAAAATTCTAACCTTGGGTGGAGAGTGTAATTTCCATATATCTGTCCAGAGGGTGGGAGGAGGTTGAAAAGAAGTTGAGGCTTGATTTTCATTCTATTTATTGGCTTTCTATCGAACGTGGTTGTATCCACTTTTAACTGTGTACTTGCCTGCTTGAGTTCCAGTCCATACGAGCCGGTCTTTCTCTGTTTGGGGTTTAATCGGGATAGAAAGGATTTCTCTCACTAATTGATCCTCAAAATGTTCGGTTAGAACTGTTTCATCCCATATGCCTTCCTCACTAATAATGAGTTCAGAGACAAACCGTGGTTCATTTCTATTAGCAGGACCTCCTATGATTGCCCTCTTCAGCCATTTGTCCTCCCTGATTCTTATCTGTGAACCATCCTCTACTGCCCACAGCACTTGGGGTGAGATGGAGTCTCTTCCTAGGATCAGACTTAGCCAACCCCATGAGGGGCGTTGTCCTTTTTCTGCATGCCAGAAATCTCTATGAGGAAAATAAAGGCCCTTAAATAGAATGCTCCAGAGAGAGTTTGGACTGTTACTCAGACGCCAAGTTTGCTTTCCTAACATTGCTTTATTAAAGGAGAGCAGATCTCTAAATCCCAGGCCACCCTTATCCTTTCTTGTTTTCAGAACATCCCATCTCTTCCAGAGGTTGGCCGATTTTAATTAATAGAAGAGTTGGTAAATTATCGTGTTAGTAAGTGTCACGCCCCGTACTCTACCGGAACGCAACATCCCGTCGACGGTCGATTATGGTGCAACGCTCCCAGGAAGCATTGCCGACCCAACGCCCAATCAGAGATCAAACACATATGGAAGCAACGTATATAAATAAATATATACACCCATACAATAAATCGCATGAGACTAAGGATAGCCAAGCAATAAACAACGATCAACGCATAAAATATGTAAATACTTATATCACTATTTTAAAACTCTTTTACAAAGGCTCCCAACAACTCAAATAAAACACCAACTCCTAGGAATAACCAAACAGCCACTTCTCCGATCTGCTCCGTCTCCACAGGGTGCACGCTCAACGACCGCTGGATGAAATGCAAAGATCCCAAAAAGTGATGGTGTCCTCGGCATCCTACGGCCGGGGTCTGAAAATGTTTCGGTTTACACAACCGTGAGACGAATCTCAGCGAGTATGACCCCCTAAACCTAGGCTAGGCTAACATGCAATCTCCTGACCGGAAACAAATATTTATAATCACAACACGACAATAATCACACCATTCTCAGACCCTGCAGGTTAGACAGATCAACATATAATAATCACGGTATATACGTGGCACGCATGATCACCCGTATGCCAATCACATGCTCATGCACTGATTCTCACACCTTCGTATGCCAGTCTATGGATGTTCATGCATGCAAATGTCGTCGACATGTCATGCGTATTTCTCCGGCCCACTGGCCCACACTGGCACACTTGCCCAATTCATTATTATTACGACTCGAGTCATCAATTTTTCACGGCCCGGTGCGTCTAGCCTGCTTCAAAGTGCATGAGGCGCAGCAACCGATCTGGCCCAGTGTCTCTAGCCTGCTTCAAAGTGCATGAGGCGCAACACTGTCTCCTTGCGAACCAGAGCCTGCTTCAAAGTGCATGAGGATGGTCGCCTTCCGGACGTACCGGGCATCGTCCTGCTTCAAAGTGCATGAGGACGGTATCGACCCGAAGGTCCTTAGGTGATCACATAACTTATTATTATCTGAACCCAACATATAACGCTTCAGGGTATTTTAGGTGATCACATGCTCATGGCAGACACGCATTCTCGCACAATTTCACCACATGCCACACTCTTGGCATACACAATGCGTGTCCATGTTATGCAATGCAATGCACCATGAGCGCCAATGAAATCCAATCACTCAATATCACAGCACGTGCTCAATTGGCCCAATTAATACCGTGTGGCCCAACGTGCGATTCACAATTCAAACACATATTTCAAACCAATCATTGGCCAATCGCACTCCACAAAATCAGCCACACAATGTCACGAGAGATGAATACAAGCCAGGGCACTCAAGGTCGATCTCCCACACTAATATACCAAACATACTCATGCTCGATTTAGACGCATTCAACTCATCCTCAATACAATCAATTTATTTCCGTTCTCACCCAACCCATTCAACATTGATTCCGCACATTTATTACAATTCAATGTAATGCGCCTAAGGCCCGCCTTCGCAAATTAGACTTAGTCCTCATTCTCATTGGTACGGGGTCAATAGATAGGATTTATATAAGTTCTAAATAACCCCTAAAAATGCCTAATTCCTTGCCATCAACCAATGACTCAACTAAGTACTCAACTTGGACAAATTGCACAAATTCGGTACTCAATGAACAGTACCAGGGGAGGACACATTTTGTCCACTAAACCACAATTAAACACCCTCATTAGGCTCTAATCTCAAACTCCAATCACCCAACAACCAAATACACTTAATTAGGCCTCAATTAAGTCCAAATAACACTTGAATTGCCTAATTTCAAGTCTTGAATCATTGAACTCAATTAGTGCCACACTTAGACAAATTTGTGCAATTTCGGTACTAATGAACGATCTGTGCGATTAAGCCTTAGTCACTAGTTCACACTTAAACAATCACATTAAGGCCTAATCACATACCCTAATCACCCAACTACCAAATACACTTACTTAAGGTTCAAATAAGCTTAATTAGCCCCTAAAATGTCCAATTCTAAGTCATTAACCATTGAACTCAATTAGTACAAAACTTAGACAAAAATACACAATTTCGGTACTCAAGTGAATGACTTACAAGTGGGTTGTTTTGGGCCTTAATCCACCATTAAAACATCTCATTAGATCCTAATGACCCATACAAAACATCACACGCACAATTAAACCTAATTAACCCTCAATTAGGCCTAATTAACCCCTAAAAATGCACAATTAAACTAATTAAGGGTTTAGGGATTTATACTCGCCTATTAACGACTCGGGACGACGGGAACGGGCGGTCGATCACCGACGCACGGTAAGGATCGACGGCGGCGTTCCGGGTGCAAGCCGGCGGTCCGCGGCAACACCGGCGGAGGCGATTTGCTTGCTGGTTTTGTTCGTTTGGGCCGGAAATGGGACCGTGGATGGCCGAACAGGTGAGAGGAAGGTCCAAGGGTGCTGTGGCGTGCGGTGGTAGGTGGCCGCCGGCTCGCCGGTACTGTTCCTGGCGAACAAGCACGTAAAATTGCGTAACGTGAACCTGCAGAACTGAAACTAAGAGAAGAAGAAGATTTTCCGGGGAAATGACCGAATGAATCTCACGAGAGAGAGAAATGGTCTGGTCCAAGTGAGTCAACAATGGGCGAGTGGATTCCAAGTGTCAAGATCTAGGGCTATTGGACAATTTTGCCCTTGATCCAATGGCTATAATTCCTTCTTATCCAATTATTTAGGGGTAAAATGGTCATTGGTCCTTAACCCAAGCTGACCAGACCTGATTTAGCCCTAACTCACCTTGGTTAGTCCCCTAATTAAATCCAAAATTCGGAATTACCAAAAATGGGTCCAAGGGCATTTTGGTAATTTTTCGGTCCAGGGTCAAAATTCCAATTTTCGCACACCCGCGTTTCATATGTGCGTGGCCAACATAATATAGCGTCGGAATCGTGAAATTCACTTTTTAAGTCCTCGAAAACTGACTGCAAAGTTTCGGGAATAAAATAATATTATTTTTTCAATTTTTGTCGATATTCCACTTTTTGGCCAAAACCACTCTAAATGTGCATGGCCACCCCAAAATGACATTGGCCGCGAAAAATAACCTCAAACGGCCTCCGAATCCGGCCTTGGTGCCCACAGGGGCAAAACCGTAATTTCTCACCCCCGGACCGAAATTCCAATTTTCACTCGTACTAACCCCAAACGTGTGTGGCCAGTGTAATATGATGTCAAATTCCCAAAAATAGTCTCTTAAGCCTTCGAAAATCGACCTCGAAATCCGGGCTCAATTCCGTGAACAAAACTCGCTAAACTTTCAATTTCAGGGTCTCTCACTAACGGGCGGCTGTTTAGGAGTTACGCGTATCGACCTAGGGCTATCCATATCGTAATGGTCTCGATCATTGAGAGAATGAGAAATTATCATTAGTTCCAGAGGTCACGATCGCTCGGTTCAAGTTCAAGACTGGTTGGCCACGTGTACTTTCGGTCTTGCAGAATCACCTGCGATCCGATGGTACATCGTTGGCCTTGGCCAAACCAGATCCGTTATCTTTCCTAAGATCGGTCCATACTGGTTCATAATATTCTCTCGTCATTTCTCGAGATCGGTGCCCAATTCACGATCGGGTCCCTGGTCCACGTATCATTTTCCTAGTTAGCCATACCCCATTGATTAGTATCCCGAGAGTGATCAGCTCTGGACGAGACTTACTAAAATGAAATGCGAAATATGGTCAATTTATTGATCCCGGAATTACATCGAAATTCATGCTGTTACAGTAAGAAAGACAAATGAATGTTGGTAAAATATACGAATTTAGGTAATTTGCAAACTGCCAAAAAGAGATAATAGTTTCATAAAGATATCAGTAACTTACAATAAATTACCGGGATACCAAGTACTTGGCAAAATTGACAATTTTTTGGGAATTACCAACTTTATTAGACAACACAAAAAATATATGTTTTTCAGGAATAGAACAGTAGAATATCCAACATTAGCATATTTAATTTAGACAATAATGAAGTCTCTTATTCGGCCAAAAGAAGTTCTCAATGAATAGTTTTGTTAACACCAAAAAATGCTCCAATTCTGGACCGACGACTAGAACTAAGAGAAGCCGAGCGAAGCATGGCAGAAGTAAAATTCTTCAAGTGTTGGAAGCTTTTAGTCGGTTAATATAGATAGTCGACAAGACGACTAAGTAATTGTCGACAGCAAAAACAAAGAGAAACTACTAAGTTTTGAGACATGATTGTCAATGAATGAAGCTCGGTCTGATCAACAAGAGGGCCACAACTAATAACATGAATCACGATGAGCTGAATGCTGGGTAATTGCCTAAGTAATGGGTCCGATAATTAAGGACGCAATCCGCTTGGGTAAATCGATATGGCTATGGAGAAGCAAGACCGTGGAGCCGTAGATCACAGAGGCCATTAACTATGAAGGTCGAAAGTCATAGGCCATTGTAACATTCAGGAAGTAGAGCCACAGGCTGCGGAAGTAACTGTCCATGTTGGGCACAAAAGAGCAGAGAAGTAATGATTGTCGAAGTAGTAAGTTTGCTTAGTAACTGCTTGTAGATACATGTTACTGAATTTTAGGAGTCACGTAGAATATGCTTGCTTTTATTATAACCATTGTTAACTATCAGTAGTAGTATAAATAGTTGAATGTAGCACGGACCGACAATCAATCAATGAACATCTATTGTTCTATTTTATTTTCTCGTTATCTTTACATTTCAAGACTCTTTTAAACGACTTACCGCGATTTTCTCCAATCTCAGCACTTTTAATTTTCTCATCAATTCGCATTTCCTGTCCAAGAGTCAACAAGGTACGTACCTTTCACATCCCTCGTTATTCCCATGTCGACCCACATCTTGTAAGAGTTTTCCATCGGTAACTTTTTGGCGAAACAAGTTTGTTGTTTATTGCAGACGACAAACAAATTTGGATCTATCTACCACCGGCAGATGAACAGTCTTCTTGAAGGACGATGCTTTGGGACTAATAACGAACGTGGAGTTGAAGCCTATGAAATCATTATTCATTTCACAAAACAAATTTTCATTGCACACAAATCTATCATCTAAGCATATTACGTGCAAAAAAGCATTTTTTTTAATTTACTGACAGTTCACAGCATAAAAAGTTGCAAAAATCACAGTAAGAGCTAGCTTCGCTACTTAACCTAAACACTGCTTAGCGCTTAGCTAATAGTTTTGCTGGCGTATAATCCTTTTCATCATCCTCTGGATGGACCTAACTCCATTAACCGCTCAGTGGACTTTCTGCATTCACGCTAATTAATAATGCATAGTTTAGTGAGATAAAAGATTCATCTTCGTGCGCGAAACTCTCTGGTTTTGGTGACTTTTCTTCATGGGATTAATGTTTACGTAGAAAGAGGCATGGGAGCTTGTGTTTGAAGACTAGTACTTTGACACTAGTTCAATCTCTTATAAAAAATACAGCAAATTATTAATTACGTGTTGCACGCTTGGGGAAGCAAACCCTAGGTCAACAAACAGACAGATGGAGATCGAACCGAGGGGCTAGATTTGGGGAGTTTCACTGAATTTGGAGTCCCAAGCGTGGCATTTGACTCAGTGAAACCACCCCATTAATTGCAAACGGTACTGACCTTTGCTCTCCAAACCAGTTTGACATGACTCGGCGAGCTAAATGAAAATGTTTTGCGCCTAACTACGCCATTGAAGTCTCTGCAAGTTGAAAGACTTACGAGGAGAGTTCAAACTTCAAAATCCGTCTCGGCCTTGTAATGTGCACACCAGTTATCACTCTCATGGCCCCTTCGAGCTGAGGAATCCCATGCACACGACCCAGTTAAAAGAGTCGCTTATTATATATGTTGAAACTCATTTTCTCCTTTTCGGGAAAGGGGAAAAGATGTGAAGAACATAAGATAAGACGAAGTGGGTTTGAAACATGGGCGGTGTGGTGGTGTTTCGGAAGGATAAACTGGGGAAGAGGGGAGGGTTTAAGAAGGAAGCAAATGGAGAGACTATGAGCAAAACGATCCAAATATTCCAACAAAGAAACAAAAAATAGATTTGATATTTCACAATATCCGGATCTTCTCTCGTGCACCTCTACACATGATCATGACTGAATTGACATTCATGTAGAAGTTGTACTGTGAGATCTTCCACACATCATCTTTGTTGGAGCCACAGCTAGGAAATTACGATGAACAATAAATTAAGCTAAATATATTTTATAACTTTTTTTTTGTTCACTATGTTAGTGGTAGAAAATAGTTTCCGCATACCGTAGAATACATACACGCACATATGGTTAAAAGCTAAGTACATTTTCGACCAATTTGTAACTATTTTATATGAATCTTCTAGCATTGCCTACGGTTGAGATTCTCATAGTTTCATAACAAAAATCTTGGAAAAATTACAAAATCCATCCTCATATTTCTCCACACTTACATTTCGCGTTCTCCAATCTAAAAATCTCACTCTTTGCATCTTGAGATTCCCCAAAACCTATATTTTGCACCCTTTATATTCTATAGCTTGGTGGGCTCTAAGCTGTGACTAGAGGAGTAGTTCATCTCCACTCCCATGAAAGTTCATACTTTAAAGCTCTCAGATAGGGATAGCCTAGGCGGTCTAGATTTTGACCGTCATGTTGGATTAAGTGTTAGATCATATTGGTCTAGTGCGTCATGTAACGAGTGTAGAACTTGGTGGCCCCACAATAAATTGTTACTGAGTATTAGTTTTTCTTTTGGATGAAACGAGAATCCTCTATCGGGTCCGGTGCTTCTCTCGATGACTCGATAAATCTCAATCATTGATGAAACCTAATTTCCGTAAATCAATAAGTAAGATTCATAGAGATGCCAAAGGGGAGTACTGATGGGATAGAGGACGATACGGATCCGTTTAGATGAAAACGTTCCACAAAGGAGACATGTGAAGTTTAGCGTATGTACAAAGAAGTTAATCATAAATGGTCGTATTCCTCTATATATTTTCTACTTCTGTGCACAAAGGTGGAAACATTGAAACGAATCATCCATTTATTTGGTATGCAGTAACCAAAAAGGAAACCTTGCAAACACCATTTTCAGGCAAAGAAAAAGACAGTGTGTGTCCGACTGTCTCGCCTGAGTCAAGAAGGGACTCCTAAGACAACCTATCTGTTACTGTCTCCAACTGTTTGTCTTGAGGAGAGAGGATAGACGAGCATCGTGGCTTCTTCCTAAGGTCAAACAGATGCCCTAAACATGGTTTGATTAATTTAAGGATATCATCAAATGGTCCCATTTGACCCATAAATTGCCATCACACGTCTCTCTCTCTCTCTCTCTCTCTCTCTCTCTCTCTCTCTGTATGGCGGTATCTTCAGATTCATAAAAGAGAGATGGAAAAAGAAAGAAAAAACTAAAAAGGCTCATCTCAATCTGACAAGTAACAGTGGGAATAGAAGCTCGGGAGAATGGAATAGAAACGGGATTTTCGGATTCTGAGAACTGAGTTTCATAAAATATATGTACTAAAACTCAGACTGACCCTAGTTTTATAAGCTCCCATTGCATTGGAAGTTGGACCTTGGTCCACCACTATCCAAATAACAATTCAAACCAGAAAGACACTCGCATTTACAATTTTCCCTTTTGTCTTGATTCGCAGAGGATGGATAGAGAGAAAACTGTCATGAGATAGATATGAGAAACATGTGGGTAATAAAGAATGGGGCCTAATCCCCATACACTGTTGATTTGGTGGTTCTCGAGATTCCTAAACTTGGAGCTAATGCATTTGAACAAAACCCAAAATGGGTCTTCACTCTAGTAGAGGAGAGGACAAAGAAAGAAAAGAAATAAAATGAAAGAAAAGCAAACGCCAGAAATAATAAACGAAAAAATTCAAATGCTCTTAAAATGTCGTATCGTTTATTTATCTAATCATTATTAGTTCAGCACAAAAAGCATTTCGATAATTAAGCTATTATTTTCATCATTCATTTAGTGGACGTATGACGTGATGATTCAAGAGTACGTAAAAGTTTCTTTGAAGCAAGAATCTAGCCGAACAAAGATAAGCCTGTTACATAAAAAATATATCCTCAAATAATTTGAGAGATTAGGTTGTTAAATTTGTAAATCAAGAGTTAGCATTCAACGTATATTCTTGAATTATTTCAATTTTTATCTAGTCAACCATTTCATTTTACCAAGTTCTTGGGTTGTCATCGGTAGATGTTCTTTTTTTCTTTTTGGGTGGTTTGAAGTTACTCGCAGAAGACACGAAGCTTTCCTAATTAAAAGTCCACCAGAAAAGACGGCTGATCCTTCGGAGGCAGACCCCTCCTCAGGTAGCATATAATCTCCATCCAATTAACTCCAACGCTTCTTCACTTATATTAACCACCCTTGTCTCTCCTTCTTCAAACTTCACAGTCTCTCTCTCTCTCTCATATATTACTCTAGCTAGGGTTTTAGATCAAGGGTTATAAGTGAAAGACAGGACATCGTTAATTTCTGTGTGTGTGCTTCAAGAAAAGAGAGTGCATAGGTTCTTTAATGGAAGAGAGAGTTGATTGTGAGAAATCAATGGATGAAGTGATGCTTCCAGGGTTTAGGTTTCATCCCACAGACGAAGAGCTTGTAGGGTTTTACCTCAAGAGGAAGATCCAACAACGACCTCTTAGCATTGAGCTCATTCGGCAACTCGACATTTACAAATATGATCCATGGGATCTCCCTAGTAAGTTAACTTAAACACCCATTAATTCGTTATTGATTCGTTTTTCCTTTTTGCAGTATTATCGTATAAACTTTACATCGATAAGAGTTAGCTAGGTTTTAAGGAATAACGAGATTCGAGTTTTTAATTTGATTTTGTTTTTGGACATGAAGAGTTGGCGACTACAGGAGAGAAAGAGTGGTACTTCTACTGCCCGAGAGACCGGAAATACCGGAACAGCGCGAGGCCAAACCGGGTAACCGGGGCTGGGTTTTGGAAAGCCACCGGGACCGACCGGCCGATCTACTCGTCAGAAGGGTCCAAGTGCATAGGGCTGAAGAAGTCCCTGGTTTTCTACAAAGGTAGAGCTGCCAAGGGCGTCAAGACCGACTGGATGATGCACGAGTTTCGCCTCCCTTCTCTCACTGACTTGTCATCACAAAATATTCCTGCCCATGTAAGATACATGCTCAACAAGTTTTACTTGAATGTGTAGAAAGATTTTCCTTTTTCTTTAGTAAGTTTTTTCACAAAGCAGTGTTAGTGCAAGTATTTTCTTGCACGTCTTGCATATATTGTGCGTGTATGTATGTCGAAGTACGCAAGTAGCAGTTTACTCTTGATTTAATGGACCTCATGAGTTGATCAAATTCATTATTTCTCGATGTTTTTGCAGGACTCGTGGGCAATATGCAGGATTTTCAAGAAAACGAACTCGACCTCCCAAAGATCTCTCGCTCACTCTTATGTCTCTCCAACGTTACCATTTGAAACCACTGCCTCAGAAACTGCAAACTCACTCATTCACTCTCAACTAAGCCCAGACACTCCTTCCTTCTCACCATCCCCATCCAAAACCAACTCCTCCATTCACATTCCTCCTGACAATATCACTCCCATCTTGGACTCATCATCACTGGTTCCATGGACTAATTTAGACTTTGCCATCATTTCATCGAGCATCGACCCGAACCCTAATCACTTCCTCTTCCCACCTCTCCACGAAACAACCACCTCGGATGTCTCCTCCATTCTTCAGACCATGTCGTCCTCTATGTTCGGAGATGTTGGCAGGAGCTTCGAGTGCGATTTAAATGACCATCAAGGACAGTTCAACGATGGCTTCTCACTACTGACTCTACCGATCGAAATGCAAGCGAACGATGCGATTGCCAGTTGCGAAGAAGCGTCCTCTTTGTTCCCGAGGAACCCGAGCCGCGACAAGCTGTGGGAGACAGTCCGGTTCGGCGGTTCTCCTTACGGCTTGGACGATAATTATTTGAACGTGGGGGATGCATGGAAGTCAAACTTGGCGTGGGATGCAACGAGTGATTTGTCAACGTATTATTATTCTACCACCAAGTGCTTCACCTAATTTAGTCATCGAAGTGATACAACGATGGCTCGAACGGGTCGATGACTTCCAAGGTTGTAGTCCACGACTCCACGCACAATATTGGGGTTCTCTAGGAGAGAGAGTTAGGTGATTTTCATTAATTTCTTCGATAAGAGAGAAGGGAAATCATTTGTTTATATGTAGAAAAATTTCTTAGATGAAAAATGCTTTTTAAAATTAGTGATAAGAAGTCGAACCCCTGCTCGCGAACCCCTGCTCGTGGTTTCTTCCCAAGCTTTATTTATTTGCTTTTTGTTTGTTTGTTTGTTTGTTTGTTTTTTTTGGGCTGGATCTTCCCAAGTGTAGCTGATGATCGAAGATATATATATGGACTACTATTTTGGAAACTTTTGCACACGAATCAGAATCAGAATACATTGTTTGTCTAAATCTTCTATCGCAGCTTGTGATCCTCCAAAGACAAGACATGCTTCAGGATAACATGCGACAAGCAGAGCCTCAAAAAGTTGAACGAACTCTTCAAGGATTGCATTCTCTGGTCAAATCTTTTCCCGGTTCTCCATTTTGTTTGCTTTTAAAAAGCTAGGACTTTCGACTGCTAAGTTATCAAAGAATAACGATAGTCATATTAAATGCTTGGTTTACAAGAATGACATGTTATGTGATATAACGTGGTGCAATTGGACTACAAAATACTTAGGTTATATTCCACATTCGGAGTTCCAAATGGGAAGATAGACCTCACTTACAATCGCTTTATTCCGCGTTTTTCCTTCTTTGCTTTTCAAAGATGATGCATGATAAAGCCAAAGCCTGACAATCGCTTAACTTGGTGATTATTTACTTCTTAAATTCGTACTTCGAAACCAGCATGCCAATGCCCCGGGAACTACTAATTGCTAGATCTCTATTTATGGGGAAAAGTGCCAAAAAAGTCATAAACCTTTTGCATTAGTGCCAATTTGGTCCTAAATCTTTTTTTGGTGCTAATTCAGTCCTAAACCTTTTGCATTGGTGTCAATTTAGTCCTAAACCTTTTTTTGGTGCCAATTAAGTCCTAAACCTTTTAAATTGATGCCAATTCAGTTCTAAATCTTTTGTTTTTGTGCCAATTTAGTCCTTCCGATCAATTTTGATCGGAATTTGCCGATGTGGACGCCTGCCGGCCGGCGGCCGGTCACCGGCGTCGACGTGGACAACTATAATATTATTTTATTATTTTTTTTTGAATTTTTATTTTTTTCCTTTTTTTTCTTTTTTTTTCCACTTTTTTTTTGGTTGTCTTCCTCCTTGCTCTGGCCGATCACCGGTCCGGCGACCGGCCAGAGGCCAAAGGCCGGCGAGCTCGACCTCGCCGGCCACTGGCGACGGCGGCCTCGCCCGACAAGGGCGAGCCTCGCCTTGGTTGGGCGAGGCTCGAGCCCTCGCCGGAGGCCGCGGCGAGGGCGAGCCTCGCCATGGTCGGGCGAGGCCCGACCTCGCCGGATCTGGCCAGGTCGACGCTCGACCTCGCCAGATCCGGCGAGGTCGGGCCTCGCCCTACCGAGGCAAGGCTCGAGCCCTCGCCGCGACCTCCGGCGAGGGCTCGAGTCTTGCCTCGGTCGGGCGAGGCCCGACCTCGCCGGATCCGGCGAGGTCGAGCCTCGCCCGACCATGGCGAGGCTCACCCTCGCCGCGGCCTCGGGCGAGGGCTCAAGCCTTGCCTTGGTCGGGTGAGGCTCGACCTCGCCGGATCGGGCGAGGTCGGGCCTCGCCCGACCATGGCGAGGCTCGCCCTCGCCGCGGCCTCTGGCGAGGGCGAGCCTCGCCATGGTCGGGCGAGGCCCGACCTTGCCGGATCCGGCGAGGTAGAGTGTCGACCTCGCCAGATCCGGCGAGGTCGGGCCTCACCCGACCGAGGCAAGATTCGAGCCCTCGCTGGAGGCCGCGGCGAGGGCAAGCCTCGCCATGGTCCGGCGAGGTCGAGTGTCGACCTCGCCAGATCTGGCGAGGTCGAGCCTCGCCCGACCAAGGGGAGGCTGGCCCTCGCTGGGCGAGGCCGCCGTCGCCAGTGGCCGGCGAGGTCGAGCTCGCCGGCCTCTGGCCTCTGTCGGCGACCGGCCAGAGCAAGGAGGGAGACAACCAAAAAAAAAAAATGGAAAAAAAAGAAAAAAAATAAAAATTCAAAAAATATATTAAAATAATATTATAGTTGTCCACGTCGGCGCCGGTGACCGGCCGGCAGGCGTCCACGTCGGCAAATTCCGGTCAAAATTGGCCGGAAGGACTAAATTGGTATAAAAACAAAAGGTTTAGGACTGAATTGGCATCAATTTAAAAGGTTTAGGACTTAATTGGCACCAAAAAAAGGTTTAGGACTAAATTGGCACCAATGCAAAAAGGTTTAGGACTGAATTGACACCAAAAAAAGGTTTAGAACTAAATTGGCACTAATGCAAAAGGTTTAGGACTTTTTTGACACTTTTCCCTCTATTTATGGGGCTCTCAATTCTTTTCTTTTTCTCCTCCCACTTCGGTCAGGCGTGATAGGTGCGATCTAACGAATCCTACAGTAGCCGTTCGCATATCGATCAAACTAAGCCAAGCTCTCTAATTAAAACGGGCCAAGCTCACGTGGCACCGCCGTGAAAACGTACAAAACCATATACATTTTCAGGTCCCTAGCAAATGATCCTGTTTCGGCGAACATCGAATCGAATAAAAAGTTGGCCGGTCTTGGTGTCTACCAATGCATAGAGTGATACATTCTCCAATGAGTCGAAAAGCTCGACCAGGTTATTTTTTTTGAGCTGACCGGTTCCTCTATCATGTGCATCAAGAATGACCTTTGAGCACAGGGTAAAGCAAGCTTAACCATTTGACGCTTCTATCTTCTATCAGGCATGGAGAATGTGCGTGTGCCGAGGACAACAGACAAATTCAAGCCAGCTTACACCTAAACAAAGCCCATTACTAAGTAATATTTGAAGTGATCAGTTTCAGGGTGGGACCGCGAATTACCCACTAAGAACTGATTCCACAAAATGGGAATCGGGAACCACCTATTGGTCCATGGAATCGGTCCCACCAAGCACTAACAAAAAAGAATGCCCTCTGATCGTGTCCATAGCTCCTTAGATTCACCGTGACACCACCGAGGTAGCTTCACCGTCCATGACCTGCTTATGTTTTGGTGAAAAAAGACCCAAACATAAGCAGACACTTTTTGCCCCGCCTTCCGAATATTGCCCTGATTTCACTGTCCATGACGTGGTGATATCAACACATTTGACAACAGAGGTAGCTTCTTTAATTGCCCGCCGTCGGACCAAACCCAACCCAAGTACATGGAACAAACTCATCCAACACAGTAAATTAGACAACTTACAGGAGACGGAGGCGAGGCCGACTGCGAGGGAGGGCTGGAGGCGAGGCCGCAACTGTTGATGTATGGAATCGAGGGCCGAAGGCGACTGTGAACCGAGAGGCTTGGCTGGTGTGATCGTGTGAGAAGCTAGAGCAAGAGAGAGGGGAAAATTACCAAAAAAGTCCTAAACCTTTTGCAATTGTGCCAATTCAGTTCTAACCCTTTTTTTTTTGCCATTTCAGTCCTAAACCTTTTACAATTGTGCCAATTCAGTCCATTCGGCCACTTTTGGCCGGCCGGCGCTGACGTGGACGCCGGTCAGCTGATGTGGCATTATTTTAATATTTTTTTTCCTTTTTCCCCCTGGCCGGACCGGCCAGGGGGAGGCTCGCCGGCGAGGCCGGCCTCGCCGGCCATGGGCGAGGTCGACCTCGCCCGGCCATGGCGAGGTCGAGCTCGCCGGCCATGGGCGACTGGCGAGGCCTCGCCCGGATCCGGCAAGACCTCGCCGTCGCCGGGTGAGCTCGACCTCGCCCGGCCATGGCGAGGTTGAGCTCGCCGCCATGGGCGAGGCCAAGCTCGCCCGGTGACGGCGAGGCCTCTCCCGATCCGGCAAGACCTTGCCGTCGCCGGGCGAGGTCGAGCTCGCCCTCGCCATGGCCGGCGAGCTCGACCTCGCCCATGGCCGGCGAGGCCTCGCCCATGGCCGGCGAGGCCTCGTCCATGGCCGGCGAGCTCGACCTCGCCATGGTCGGGCGAGGTCGAGCTCGCCTAGCGACGGCGAGGCCTCGCTAGATCTGGGCGAGGCCTCGCCCATGGCCGCCAGATCTGGGCAAGGCCTCGCCGTCGCTGGGCGAGGTTGAGCTCGCCGGCCATGGGCGAGGTCGAGCTCGCCCGGCGACGGCGAGGTCTCGAGGTCGACCTCGCCCGGCCATGGCGAGGTCGAGCTCGCCGGCGAGCCTTCCCCTGGCCGGTCCGGCCAGGGGGAAGAAGGAAATTTTTTTTTTAAATAATGCCACGTCGGCCGCCGGCCGGCATCCACGTCAGCGCCGGCCGGCCAAAAGTGGCCGGATGGACTGAATTGACACAATTGTAAAAGGTTTAAGACTGAAATGGCAAAAAAAAAAAGTTTAGGACTGAATTGGCACAATTACAAAAGGTTTAGGACTTTTTTGGTAATTTTCCCCAAGAGAGAGAGGTGATCGTGAACAAGAGCAAGATGAGGCACGGGTAGAGACGAGAGGAGAGAGTTGAAAGGCTAGAGGAGAGATGGAGACAATTGAGAGGTTGGGGTTTCTTTTTAGAGGAAGCGTGCACTGCATCATGCGAGCCTTGCCCAAAAATATTATCGTAGGTGAACTGAGATAGCTCAAATTAAATATATATATATATATATATTGGTCCAGTCCAAGTGGTGGGCAATTCCACTTTGGAACCGAGAACTGAACCGGTATAGACTAGAACTGGCCGGTCCGAACAGTTCCCGGTCCTTTTGCCCTAGGGCCAATGCGCTTAAAATACGCAAGGCAGTTACTTAACCAGGCCACGTCTCCAATCAGTCTTGTCATTATGCGATCAAGATGATCACTCCTGGAAATGGCGGCAAACTCAGAGTTCCTTCTCTAGAATATTGTCAGTTCCATACCGGGAACTGCACATCTCAAATTGAATGATAAAAGGCAAAGGAAAAAAAAAGCCATTGCAAATGATCCAGAGCAATGGAAATGAACCGTGTATAAACCCCAAAAACCAATTAATCTGGTATTAAAGGAAAGCAGATAGTACATGATTTTACAGTATCACCAAGAAGCAATTAAAAGGGAAAGAGAAACAAAACATCAGCTCGATGAATTTGTCGACAAAATCAACTATGATGGTCTCACATTGCTTTTCTATGACTCCCTATCATTAAATGTAAGCCAAAATTACATTCTTCGAAGGTCTAACCCAGAGTGGTTCCCAGTTTCTGTATTCTCAGCTTTTTGAGGCAAGCTTTTCCTTTGCCTTCTGAATCTTCAATACCTTCTTCACAATCTTCTGCTCTTCCACTAAGAATGCTCTGATGATCCTATATAAGTCAATAAAAATTTAATAAATCACAGACCGTCTTCTATGTTGACCACAGAAACAAAAATTTCAAGTAACAACTGTTGTGAGCATATTTGCACCTCTCTCGAACAGCTCCTCCAGACAAGACTCCACCATATGCCCGGTTTACAGTTCTGCGATTTCTAGACAATCTTGATCTCTTGTATTCTGCTGGCCTCAAGTGAGGAATCTACAACATGGCACATTGTGGTTAGTAGACGAAGGTCAAAGCCTACTGCAGAAAGCACAGACAGTATAAGGTAGTTCAGTTGCAGTCAGTATGCTCTTTTTTAAGCAATAAATTATATCTTGAAACTCATTAAAACATCGTACACAGAGGCTACATGTAAGTAGCAACTGAGATGACCACTGAAACGTGTCCCACGTTTACACCATCTGAGATTTGACTTTCTCTCATATAAGGTTGCTAACAAAGCCTATTATCTAAAATTACTTAGAAAGATGACATGTGCTTTTTTGTATATGGCATTCCATAAGAGGCCAAAGCAGTTTGAATCTACATGCCAACTTAGTTTGTTGTCTGCTTGCTTCTTTTTTCTCTTTTTGTTCCTTTTCCTGTACTTCAATGACCTTACAATGTTTGAAGTGGAGCACAAGCACTCCTTCTATGTCTATTATTCTTTTGTATATTGTCATAGTTCCTGACATACTTTCATCAAATTTCTTCCACAGCAGATATAACCCATTCCCAAATTTTTTTACTTCATTCCTCCTCAGTTAGTCTGTCCTCCCTCACCAATCATTCTTGATTTACTCAAAGCATTCTCTTAGTTCCATTTCTAACTTCTTCTTTAAATGATTCAGTGACATGAAGTAGACAATATGATTGAAATTTTATTTGGGAAATCATTTTCATATGATTTTTAAAAACCTATACTCTGCTAGTTTGAATGTCAAAACGCATATTCAGGAAGAAAAACTTGCTGGTATAAAGAGCAAAAGCATTCTAAAAGAATGAATTGCTGTCTGGTCGTTCGAAGGAATAAGGAAATTTCACATCAAACTAATTTTTTTGTTCGAACTTTTCCAGTTTCTACACTTTAGTCACTATCAAACCATCAACATTCATTGTTCCATGTATTTTCATCTCTTTAACGCTTTCAAAAGCTTCAAACCCAATAAAAACCAAAAGTTTTAACTTTTATTAATAACAAATTAGGTAAAATATTACCCATCACACTGCAAAGCGGGGTGATGTAGCTGGTCTAATACAACCAAGAGTCTCAAGTTAGTGCCTTCCTGCATTGACACAAGGCATCTCACAACATGCAATAATTCTCAACTAACTTAAACCCAAATAAATGCCAAAGAACCTGCCCGTACATTTCATTTCCTAGTCAAGGAACAAGGTCTTGATGATACAATATAGCTAGGAGTTATGAATCTTTCTTTGTCTAGCCTCATAGATGTGAGACAATGATATGCCCCACAACTAATCTTTTACATGTCAACATGAATGGCCAAAGAAGATCGACTTTATGACGATTTGATTTCATGTCAATTGAAGAGTTCTGGGCATCTGTGGAGAGTCCGATCAAAATGAACACACTAGGCTATGTATACCAACTGTAATAATGAGCAAGCCTCTCTCTCCCCCCTCACGCATGAAGCTGTGACCTTTCATGGAACTGCAATAATTTTGGCTGCGTACAATTCACATATGGAGATCATTCACATGATTGCTCACATCCACCACAGAAAAGCAGACACATCAGAATGGCTACCGAAACCACAGCAATTCACATAGCTATTCAAGCACGGGATCCACAATTGACCACCTACTAGCCGTCACTCTAGTTTCGTGGTGATGAGAATGCGGGCCAACCAAGCATTCGGACAAATTTTACGAATTCACCCAACAAACCCGATCAAAAAATACCGTCCATTTGCTACATTGGTAATTATTCATACAGCGGCCAATATCAACTACACCAGTATCAAATCACTCGAAGATCTACGAGACACAGCTTGATCGACACTAATGCAATTAGGCGAGAGAGGCAATAAACAAACATACCCCCTGTATCCTCTTGCCGGTGACCGGGCATTTGGGGCCACTCGCTCTCTTCTTGGTGGTCTGGTAAACCAGCTTCCCTCCTGCACTCCAATTTCAACCGAAGAAGAAGAACAACGACAACAACTCAGCGCAACATCCGTCAAAGCGACGACGGCATTGAAATCGAAACCAATACACACAAGTTCTAGAGCAATGGGTCGGAGATCGAATGGGAGATGAAGGAATTCATACCGGGAGTCTTCACGACCCTGTGCTGGTTCGACTTGGTGGCATAGCTATGCCGCTTGCGATACGTGAGACGTTGCACCATTTCTGTGCGCGCGCGCTAGCCCCTCTCTCTCTCTCTCTGAGGAAATCGGCTGGCTAGAGGAAGAAGAAAGGGCTTTTCCGGTTCGCCGTACTTATCTATGTGCTGAACAAGAACGGGAAGGGCTTGAGAAACCCTAGATCCAACGGTTGAGAATCAATCTGTCCTGGTTCTCGTTGACTGCCTTTCTTGTAGGGTCCGAGTCCCGAACTGGGAGTCAAGCCCAATTGGGACTGATTTGGGCCTCAGCGCTGACGTCACGAGGCCCATCTGAAGTAGGCGAGGCCCGAGCCCCGCCCTTTTTGCCAAGGGAAAGTGGCACACATGGTCCAAGAACTTTGACCCAATGTGCAATGTGGTTTATGAACTTTTAATTTGTTTAGTTTCTAAACTATATGAAAATGTTCAATGTTGTTCCTGAACTTGAATTAATGGAAAGACAATCATGCGGTTCATGGACTACATTGAATATGAATCAAAAGTCTAGGGATCTCATTACATATTGGGTCAGAATTCAGAGACCATTTGTGTCATTATACCTTTTGCCACAATGTATTCTCCAGGTCCACTCGAATGATGGGTTGGCCGGTCACACCAATGATCAATTGTAGGCGTTGCACATAAGTGTAAGGGTCCACATGAGTTCGTCATGGATCATCTGAATTACATGAATCGCTTTGAGCTTTCCGATCTTCAATTTTTGTGATGTGGATTTTCGAGTAATTGCTTTGGCAAATTTCTACTTCAAATACTGAAAAATTGTATCACTTGCTTCATTACATCATAACCGCTCCCAAATCCGGCCCACACGTACATTATGCTACATGGGTCAACCTAGCAGCAAGCAGGGTGAGCATCAGTTTTATGAACCGGGTTGAACCGGTTTTTGAACCATTATATTAAAAGAAAAGTTTCACGTTCTCCGAATTTTGAACCTTGTCTTCAATGTGAAGAGCACTTACCACTCGATTAAGATAGCTATCTTGTTTAAAAGAGAAAAAGCGGACAATTCCTGGTCCCGTTCTTCGGAATCAGGGATCAGTTTCGGGTTATATCTTGGGAACCAAACCACCCAGGAATTCACCCCTAGCAGGCATTAGCTCATGTTGCTGTCTGATGCAACACTAACAGCAATGTCTCGACTTGTTAGTCTCGCGTATTCCTCGGCTCATGTCGGCACTAGAGAAAGGTGGGAAGATTTGGACTCCGTCTATTTATATTGGATCAGTACTTTAGATTCACTTCCTAGTTCCTGGAGCTACGAGTTTTGCCGATTTGATTTAGTGTCATGTTCCATTAAACTGAATCTGAATCCTCCACTGAGCTATTACTGTGCACAGTTATATGGAATGTGAAGCAAAATCAGTTGAGTAGTGTAAACCGCATTAGGGATGTCGTGACCCGAGACGGTACAGAAGCAAATAGGATCATGAAATGTCCTCAAGTTTGCCAGGTTACAATCATGTCTTCATTGCGGGAGGCAGTTTATGAAAAGGACATAGATTTGGACGAGCAGAAAAAGAATGTCTTCATTTTAGTGTAGGAAACACACGGCATCAAGTATGAAAAAACAGGACAATCAAACTTCTTCCTCACAAAACTTACGGCAATCGGCCGATCTTTCCTTTTACTGATCGAACAAACTTGCCTATACTAATCGCTTTGCTATACAAATCTCTACATTTAACAAGGACCAAAAAATAAGAATAAAGAGCGCAAAAGAACAAACGAACTAGCCATAGCCAATTCTAGTGTAACTATTTGGGATCCCTGAGATGGCTCGTCTCATGCTCGTCTAGCATTTCCGGCAAATTTGGTCCATCTTCCATTTGAAGAGGGACTAGGATGAACTAGGACGAACTAGGACCTGTTGTGGATAGGATCCGAGCCTCCTCGAACTTGTCTTTTGCTCGACTGGTTAGGATCGAAGCTCGCAGCTTTGCTTGCAGATGTCTTGCCGGTCATTAATTCCATGCTGGTGTCCTTCAGCAGGCGTCGACTGGATGATGCTATATGCCGATCTTCTTGGGCCTGTCTTGCAAGAAGTTCTATGCTGGTTAAGCCCGAGACTTGACTTGGCTTAACCGCTAATGAACCGACAAGGATCACAAAGATGAATGTTCTCTGGACCAGAACATTCATTGTTTTGAGAACTAGAAAAGCCAGAACAGAAGAAAGAGAAGATGCTTCTTGTCTCAGAGAAAAAATGGGAATTTCTTGAGACTGCCTGTCCTGCCTCCTCTTATTGTTCCTTTCCTGTAGAAGCAATGCAGGCTATTTATCAGTCTTAGTTGGAACTATCTGTGGAGGGAATTTTGAGGCATTCAACAAGGAGGGGCCCAGAAACAATTGTTTGGGGGGAATTTTAGATTCACCTCAAAATAAACATCATGAGACTTGTAACGTAGGCATAGTAAGGCTGTTTTATGGAAGAATCTGACAAAGGATGAATCGAAAAAAGGGGAAGTGGAACAGTGTCCTTGAGAAGCCAAGTATCTTTTTTCAAACTCGTTGTTCCCAAACACATCTGTCATTTCCTCTGCTTTTTCTCGTTCGTCTAACTTTGAAAATGGCCAATCACTTCTAAGTTCTCTTTATGGTCTTTGGTCTTTAAGAAATTGCTAATTCAGCAGGCAATGCTTAAAAGTGCTCTCTCCCAGGGAACAGATCCAATTTCCTAGACTTTCCATCTTCTTCCCTATTCTAAATAGAAACTAATCGACCGCTGTATCGACACAAGAATGTCACTGAGTGCACCGTTGTTGGTTCTAATACTTACACATTATGATTTTTCATGCCTCGGGGATACTAAAACCGCTGCTAAGAGTAAAGTAAGATCGAGAAAAAGGAATGCATCAAGTCTGTTCTTGAGAGGGGGGCATCCTGGTGACTGATTGTTCCTTTGTTACTAAGTAAAGGCGGGTTTGCTTTTTGTTTATTTAGTACATGGAAGAGTAGTGACTAGGGAGACGGCAGTTAACATGGGCCATTTAAGAACCAGTGGATTGGTACAGGAGCAAGCAGACTGGAATCAAATGGAAGGAGAGGAGAAAAGGGAACAAATGGAACAGCACACTAAAGAAAACACACACTTCCTTTATGCCATTCCGGATTTAATTCTCACTTTAGAATTCCAAGCTCTTTCCTCTAGGAACCAAAATAGATTAATATATAAAGAAATGAATCGGGTCCTGGTTTCTTGTGCTGAATGTGTTTCTTTACGCTTTTTCTTTTCTCTGCTGCCTGTGTCCCCCCTGATATTCTGATTCAATGTCGTTTTTCAGATAAGAAAGCGGCCAATTCCAACTCTCTTTATCACCTGTGGTTGTTTCTTATCCTGGTCTTCCTTTTTCATGCTGTGATGTTATGTGCATATCACATGCGTCGGAACATTCTGTAGAATATATTCCTTGAGCTTTGTCTGGCAGATGGTGACTTGAGATTGAGGTGAAAGGTGACTCGAGTCACGGTCTGAACACGCCTGACTCAGCTTGAACATGATGCCAATGTGCTGATTCTTGTTCTGTTTTTCCTCGACCTAGTAAGAGGGTGTGCAATACGCCTAAATACTTGCCTCTGCTCTATGCATACCCAAGTTCAAAATCATTTCGAGAGAACCGCTTGGGAAGGATGTGGGAACAAGCACAAGCATACCAGTCTGTGAACATAAGGGCATTTGAGAATCACCACGTGTTGATCTGTAAACTAAAAGTTACCAGAATCAGGGCCGGCGCAGTCACTTGGAAAGTGAAACGTGATTGGACAATCTGATTTTCACCAAGGTTAAGGTAAGAAATCATGGTCCCTGGTTAAATCATGTCACCTGATCTCCCATCAAGCAAGCACCCAAATGTACGAAGTCGAGACCAATTACGATTTCAAGCTCATGCCTAACCAAATCAAGGCAAAAAATAACTGCTAACTTGCGCCTTTTGCTTTTGCTTTGGAACGGCTGTGTACCATGTATATGTTACTTATTAAAATCCAGCAACCTATCAGCAGAATCTCAGGAGGGTCCATGCTGTCTTTGGAATTTCATCAACTCCGATGAACTTAAGGAGGGAAAACAAATAAAGCGAAAAACTGAGATGCTGGGACTTTGTAGATTCTCAAGGTTGGTCTTAAAGCTCTGGCTTTCCTCCACTTTTTCTTAAAAAAGAAGAACAATTAAACTGAGGCCATTTCGCTGAACGAGCCCCACATTGACAGTCTCGCAAAGACCGATCCGGTGCTCGTATGACCGAGCCGCCGCTGATAAGGACAGGTTCTTCTTTCTTGTCATATTTTATCCTATCAACTCTGTATTCAGACATCCTAATACATTTTAAAGTTATTGCTGCAATTAGACAGCTGAACAGAACTGCACAAGAAGAAAACGCTCCGGAGCTTGTATCTGTGATGACGTTCGGCCCAACGCTATCTCCAGGTGCCGAGGCTATCATTCTTGACCCAATGTTCAATCTTAAGCCATAACGTGCACTCTGCACAACCTAATCAACAAAGTAAAGCTGGACAATGCAAGAGGAGAGCAATATTACCTCATGTTCGCATTTTCTCCTTAACCCCTGTGCATGGTTTTGTCTTTCCTTAATCTGCAGGTCAAGCAACATTGATTCACTAATCTCTTAAACTAAAGAATTCACTGGTATTTGTGATGCCATCATGAGTATGTAGACTTAACTAATCTCCAAGAGGGTGGAACTGGAATCTAATCATTTTGATCAAACTCTGTCCGGGGCCTTCCTGCTTCTTAATTTGAGAATAAGTTCCACCGGAGGCCTAAAGCTCAAAGGGACATACATATATTCCCACCCAAGAAAAGTTACAAAGGGAATGCCCTAACTAAAGTTTTTAACGGTAAGATGCTTCCCAACTCTAATTTAACATTGCTGCGTATACATGAATCTCCATGGAAAAGTTTTAATTTTTCCTTTCATTCCATTTGCTATCTCACACTTGAGACACGAACCTGTAATGAATTCTACAGACAGTAACCTTATTTAGGTAACTGCGAAATTTTTAACGATGAAGTCACCGCTGTGGAACATCGACACAACAAACCCGAGGATATCTTTTTCTTTTTCAACCTTTTCTCATTTCCCAATGAAACAGCAAATGAATTAACACAGAACGAGTGTACCTCCCAAAGAGAGGAGAGAATTGCATTCATTTTATAAATTTAAAGCTCAAGTCAAGTGTACACGTCGTGATACAATGATAGATATGGCGGGCCCAAGTTGCCAGAAAATTATACTTCACAACAAAGCACTAATCCAAGGGTGATGTTCGGTGGTGTGGCTAGGATGAGCTTTCTAAATATTTCCGTATGCACCCAAAAAAGTAAAAAGAGGAAAGAAAGAATGGTATAGGGCATGAAGGATGCTCGACCTCCCAAAGATGTCATTGCACAATCCCTGCAAAGATCCTACTATATACAATCCGAGAGCCCCCGTTCAGCCCTCAGAGAGTCCCTTCAGGCTAAAAAATGCGGAAGAAAGATACCGACAAATCGTGGTGCCAAACAGTCATGGCTCATTTCTTCCGATTGTATGGATGCAGAAGATGGTTAGTTGCTCTAAGGAAACAATCAGCACCTGTTCACCCGAGTCACTATATACCGTCCCTTCTCTAAGTCATAAATGGTCTTTACTTGAGGCTTCCTCCACTTTGATAGGGTCCATGAGACAAGCATGGATATCATCAGAATAGCAACTACCGAGAGTAGGATGGGCGAGTGATTAATGAGAATGGCGAAGGGCCAGTTGGGCTTCTCTGCATCCGCAGCAGCTGTGGTCTGCAAGATGAAAGCTCCGAGAGCCCAATCCAGAGGGACACTCCCTACCTGATTAGCAAATGCAATCCTGTTTAAGAACAAACACATTTGATCACCAACAAAGGACGAATAACAAATATTCTAATGTTGAAGTGAGCAGACATAAAAGGGAGACTTCATGGAGGGAAAATGCAATATCTCATCTTTTTTTAAGAGAGTAATTGACCAATACCAGTAGAAGGTTACTCTAGTGAAGGCATTGAATGAGTTACCTATCATCATTCAATGCGATTCCAAGACTATCATGAAGGAAGGCTACAATATAAGCTGAAGAGAAGCAGTAGCGTAGTAAGTCTTCCTCATTGATCGAATGATGTCTCTTCTTCAAGATTGACCAATCCTCTCCACAAAAATGTTCCCCAGCCAACATCAAATCAGAAAGAACTGCTTTTTGCGTCAATCCAAAAAACTGAACAAGCAAAATAGCGCAGAGAAATGAAGAAAGTTAAAAGCGCACAAAATCAGGGTACCCCAACTCTCAGTTCAAACTAATTAATGAAACAGGGGATTTAATGCTGACAGATGGAATTTAATCCCGTTAGCCAGACCTTTTACTAGAGCACAGTGTGACTGTCTATATAGGTAAGTTCATACTATGCAAGGAAAAACTCATACCTTTGACGTATAGAAAAAATTCTCTGTAGCAAGAAATCTCCCTTGAAGCTTAGGCGTGAAAGTTGATCCTATGTAGCATTGTCGATAAGCACACTTATCTGCATCACAGGAGAGAGAGAGGATGTGGACCACAACTAATAAGCAAAGACTAATATAGCCAGAATATATGTCAAAAATTAGTCTGTGAGAATTGACGACCATTTTCCTTTTGTAATAGTTTAAAGGCCGCAGATCTGCACTCTGAGAAGTTGCCCTTGGAATCAAAAGTGGACAAGAGTCTCTCTTTATCATCCACTGAATCCGGTGAGAGCTTCAATGGCTCGGCATGAGAGTACCCTTTTGGGGTGCAAGGATCAATTAACATCCCCTTTTGAAGAGACTCATCATCTGCACAACATATAGATGCTAAGGAAGTGTAGAAACAAAGAAATATATCCTGCTCCACAATCATGTATAGTTAATAATGACCATCGTCAGAAGATTGAAGCAACTTGCGAAATTGATTAAAATTGATAACATGTTCATATAAAAAACAAGGAAAATGTTTAAATAGTAAATGCCAGTTCCATTCCTTTGGATGTACACAATTTCCATTTATCTCTTTCTATTTGTCTGATTCCCCTCAGCTTAAAGGTTGATAGGTAAAAGCTTCAAAACATATTGATGCCAAAGGACGTGCAAGAATGTAGACAGTGTTTTTATACAGACTAGTGTGCATGTACATATATATCAACAGATAGACACATATCCACACATTCTGTATGTAATAGGCACATATGATGCATAGGTTCGTGGATGCACGGGTACATAGACACATACAAACTACATTGGCGTCTGGATGAAAATCACAAGATGCAGTAAGTGGCTTATTCAAATTCAAACCAAGCTGCAATGTAAACTTTGAGCGTCATGCATAATAAGCTGAGAGTAAATGTAGACATACTTACCCAAATTCTTTTCTTCAGAAAGAAGCAGTTCTTTCAATGACTCAAACGCAACAATCTGCAAATTACGAATTTGATAGCAAAAAATCTTAGGACGGGAAACAGCACAAAAAACTGATGTACGTTGCATAGAGAAAAAAAACCTAAGAAAATTTTTACCACACTCACAGAAGCTGACAGGAGACATCACAGTTACCCACTTTATGCGCAAGCAATGGTAATGCATAAACCCAAATGTTCACAAGTGGGACTTCTAGAGAATGAACTCATACCTCTTTATAATTAGCCAGCCTCCTAGTTTTAATCTATTATTTCGTATTGTTGGGTCAAATCAGGGAGCAAGATAAAGCATAAATTGTCCGAATAAGGTAAGAATAGACAGTATGTTCATCGAGATGTTTAAGCCAACATCAGAACTTATTAGAACCAGCATCATTTAACTCATTAATGACCGTCATCATTAACACTTGAATGACTCTTCTACAAAAAGACGGCACATCTGGTTTACAAATTGAGATCACGACATAACCAAGTTGCACAAGTACGATCTTAGGAAAAGGAAAAGGATAGAGATATCAATTTGAATTGGTCACAGCTTCTTATTGACCACCCGCATTATAGCTTATAACTTGGTTTGAAAAAAAGTTCGTTTTTTTACATGCATCATTTGGAAACAACCACTAAGCTTCACATATCACTGTAAGTATTTTCTGACAAATTATTTACCACAAAAGTAGAAAGGACAAAACAAAGAGATAAAACATCAACCAGTTAACAAAGAAACAAGATAAGTGATGAAGCAGGGATATTCAAATTACAAATAGTAAATCAAACAAAAAACATGGATTCATCAAATGAAGCACAGAAAAAATTATTAATATGATATCAAGAAGGGCAAGCAAACAAAAGAATTCACTCCACATTAGCAATAGGGAACGAAGCAAAAGAAGACAGTACCTGGCCAAATTGAAGAAAGCTGTGGCTGTAGAGGTTGTATGTGATGTTTCCAAATTTCACAGTTCGTGAAAATTCAGAAGGTAATGGCTCCCTTGAAGAAAAGGTCACCTGAAAAAGAAAGTAGAATGTAACACTAAATCAAAGTCCTATTTTTTATGCTTGGGCATAGGTAATAATTTCGTTGGTAGCTCTCGGCAAGGTTCAACCTTCAATATTATCAGGTAACAAAATCAGTATATAGTAAGTATATTAATTATATTACGAAATATAATCCACGGGGCTCTCCCTGCTAATAGGCCAAATCTTCAATGAAAATGACACATTGTAGTTTTAGCACTATGAATAAAGTCAAGGCACCAATATAAAAACTGGTATAGCAATTCAAACTAAAATTGCTTAGAGACAACTTAGAAAGTGAACACCATACATATCAGTAGAGAAAAGCTGTTTTAAGTTTTAAAAAAAATTGCAAGACTATAGCCATATTATTTTACAACGATGAACAATTTGACTAAAAATGGGCACCATGAGTACCAAAAACATAAAAAGATCAGTATAGGGAGATGAAACTGCACCTGAGCAGAAGCCCCACCAAGTTCAATGATACCAGTAGTGTCCTGTGGATCACCCCCAAGAGCACCGAGTGCATAATTAGCAACCACCCAAGCGTACACCCCTTCATCAGACCCTGATGCAACCCAAAAATGAGCTTCACGATTTGCAAAACAAGCACCAAACCCGAAAAAATACTTCGCCTTCTCCCTCCCCGTGTCCACTAGACTTTCTCAGGGCTCCGCAGGAGAAGAAAGACAACTTTCAGAACTCCCCAGGATTAAACTAATCAAAACTCATCCATTTCAAATAGCTATCAACCTCACACCCACTCTCTAATGCATTCAGTAAATCACCACACCTGGCATTATCGCTGAACTGTCAAAAACCATACCAAGTGATAGTGGCCAGACCTGTAATAACCGAAGCCCACTCATCCTGGAACTGGAATCCGGACACGCGAAGAACCTTCCGGCATGAGTCGAGGATCTGATCCTGGACGCGCCGTTCGAGCATCCGCAGCCCTGCCGTCGCCATCAGCCGGACCTCGGTCTCTCCCCAGAATTCCCTCGGCACCTTCCGCCTCGCGAACTCCACCAGCTCGGCCAGTGAGGCGCCCGCCTCGCCCGGATCCTCCGCGTACGCCGACAAGCCCGGATTAACCCGCAACGACGCCAGCCCGTCTTGCCCGAAATCGAACGCCGCACCGTCCCCGCTACCGTAGCTGAACACGTGCATCCGCGTCCCCGTGCTGCCCCCGTCGATCACGATCGCGTACCTCCTCCTCGCGAAGATCGAGAGGCCGCGAGGGGAGAGGAACGCGTAGCAGAGGACGAGGACGAGCGCGAGCAGGACGGAAGACAGGAGGCAGAGGTTCGATCTGGGAGGGTGCTTAGCGTTTCGGGAGAAGAGGTTGGTGGATCGGGAGCTGTGGCGGAGCTGGAGCTTGATCGGATCCATGCCGCGGCCGTCGCCGTCGCCGTCGCCGTCGGCCTCGGTGCTGCGGCGCTGGTCGTCGTCGTCGTCGTCGGCGGCGGCGGCGGCGGAGGTGGCGGATGATTTCTTGTTGCTCCCGGCTTTGCGGGCATTCGATCGTCGCATGAAAGGGTTGGGGAGAGGAGAGATCGAATCACGCGAGGCCCGAGACGGCGGTCATCGAAGGTCCCGTCGGTTTCGTCGTCTTCGCCTCCGCGTCTCCGTCCCCTCCTCCCGCTGACTCTCGTCTCCTCCGCGCGTCGCGACGCGAACGGGACGATGAGTTGTCATTTCCCCACTTTCCTGCGTTTCTTCTTCGCGCCGAAACGGCGTCGTGACCGGAAGATGGAGCGTTGGGCCTCGGATGGGCCTTTGGGCCGCCCGATCAGGCCCATTCGAGTGCATGTTGCGGGCCGTCCAACGGCTTCGCTTCGGCCGACCCAAATTTGTCTCCGGCGCCGGCGGTGGCGCAGAATAGTAAATTTAATTTTCTTAAGCTCTTCATGCCTGAAGACATTTTCGTAGTTGAATTTCTGCAGTATTGCGCCACCCGGGTGCCAAACTGGGTTTTAAATGGACCGTCTTAGATGGATGCAACGGTCACATGCGGATTCAAACTGGCAGATTCCGCCTCTCGGGATATAAACTCATAATTCCATATCGGATCAGCTCATGTAAACCGAACATCACAAATGTGGTGCGTTATGTGAAAATTCATCAATTGAGGTCTAAGTACGGGAGGTATCGAGAGACTTAAGCTCTCAACTCATGACGTTTTCAAGACGACGAGTCATGCCATTTTGGATAAAGGGTAGGTTTAGACAGGAGTGAATGTGTGTGTTTGCTCTATTACCAAGTTAGAAAAACTCTTCCAAGAAAAGGGAAAATGACGGGAAAAGTGCCAAAAAAGTCCTAAACTTTTTGTATTAGTGCCAATTCAGTCCTAAACCTTTTTTTGGTGTTAATTCAGTCCTAAACCTTTTGTATTGGTGCCAATTTAGCCCTAAACCTTTTTTTGGTGCCAATTAAGGCTCCGTTCGTTTGGCGAAAAATATTCTCCCGGAAAATATTTTCCGGGTTTTCCGGTGTTCGGGGGGCGGAAAACGTTTTCCGTGGGAAAATATTTTCCTTCCCCCCTCACAAAATAGTCTAAGTTTACGGAAAATGACTTCCGCTTCTTCAAAAGCGGAAATCATTTTCCGAGCTTCTTCTTCTTCTTCACCGAGGTCGCCGGCGGCGACCGCGCCGCCGGCCGCCGCCCTCCGCCACCCGCCGGCCACCGCCGCCCGTCGGCGGCGGGGCCGCCGGTAGTCGGCCGCCACCGCCTCCGGTCGCCGGCGAAAAATATTTTCCGAAACTTTTTCATATTGATCGCCGAACACCGGAAAATTATGTTCCGGGAAAACATTTTTCAGGAAAATGACTTCCGGGAAAATATTTTCCAAAAGGAGAATATTTTCCGCCAAACGAACGGAGCCTAAGTCCTAAACCTTTTAAATTGATGCCAATTCAGTCCTAAACTTTTTGTTTTTGTGCCAATTTAGTCCTTCCAGCCAATTTAGACCGAAATTTTCCTACGTGGACGCCTGCCGGCCGGCGGCCGGTCACCGGCGCCGACGTGGACAACTTTAATATTTTTTAAATATTTTTTTGAATTATTATTTTTTTTCCTTTTTTTTTCTTTTTTCCACTTTTTTTTTGTCTCTTCCTCCTTCCTCCGGCCGGCCGCCGGTCCGGCGATCGCCGAGGCCGGGCGAGCTCGAGCTCGCCGCCACCGGGCGAGGACGGCCTCGCCCGCCAAGGGCGAGCCTCGCCTTGGTCCGGGCGAGGGTCGAGCCCTCGCCGGAGGCTGCGGCGAGGGCGAGCCTCGCCCGACCATGGCGAGGCCCGACCTCGCCGGAGGCCGCGGCGAGGGCGAGCCTCGCTCCGCCAAGGCAAGGCTCGAGCCCTCGCCGGAGGCCGCGGCGAGGGCGAGCCTCGCTCCGCGCAAGGCAAGGCTCGAGCCCCTCGCCGGAGGCCGCGGCGAGGTCGGGCCTCGCCCGAACATGGCGAGGCTCGCCCTCGCCGCGGCCTCCGGCGAGGGCTCGAGCCTCGCCCGACCAAGGCGAGGCTCGCCCTCGTCGGGCGAGGCCGTCCTCGCCAGTGGCCGGTCGCCGGACCGGCGACCGGCCAGAGGAAGGAGGAAGACAACCAAAAAAAAAAGTGGAAAAAAAAAGAAAAAAAAAGGAAAAATATTAAAAAATTCAAAAAATATTAAAAAAATATTAAAGTTGTCCACGTCGGCGCCGGTGACCGGCCGGCAGACGTCCACGTAGGCAAATTCCGGTCTAAATTGGCCGGAAGGACTAAATTGGCACAAAAACAAAAGGTTTAGGACTGAATTGGCATCAATTTAAAAGGTTTAGGACTTAATTGGCACCAAAAAAAGGTTTAGGACTAAATTGGCACCAATGCAAAAGGTTTAGGACTGAATTGGCACCAAAAAAAGGTTTAGGACTAAATTGGCACTAATGCAAAAGGTTTAGGACTTTTTTGGCACTTTTCCCGGAAAATGACATAAATGGTTTTTGAACTTTGACTCAATGTGTAACGTGGTTCATGAACTTTAGCCTAATATAACAACCCAGACCAAACTTGGTTTAACACCAACCGTCTTAGATGGATGCAGCGGTCACATACAAGCCCAAACCGGTAGATTCCGCCTCTTAGGATATAAACTCGTAATTCATAGAGCATACGATACGTATCCGGATTAGCTCATGTAAACCCAACGTTGCCCATGCGGCGCACGATGTGAAAATTCATTGAATGAAGTCTAAGCACGAGATGTATCGACAGGCTTAAGCACTCAAATCATGGCGCTTTGAAGACCGACAAGTCACCCTACTTTTGGATAAGGGGTAGGTTTAGACAGCAGTGTGTGCGTGTGCGTCTGCTCTATACAGAGCTAGAGAAATCCCTCCAAGAAAAGCTCAGACACAACTAGATGCCACTTACCACGAAACTACTGGCGTAGCGCCATCGATGCTTCTCAGTGGTTTTTCTTGAGGTAAACACATTTTTTGCCGACAAGGAGGACACAGAATGCAGCAAGACGGGAATTCATTCGATCATCCAGCTTTTTGAAGTCAACAAGCATCAATTTCCATGGCAATAATTCTTGAAGACCGCATCGGAGGTCGTGAATCCACTATGAAATATTCTGATCGAGCTGTAATTACCTCTCTCTGTCACCATAGCCCCATCAAGATGTTAATGATCGGGAAGTCTCTTCACACGGCGAAGGTCGCGCAATCAAATTGTGTGGATGGCAATTTCCGAGCTTGCGCTTTTTGGATGGATGGAGAATTCCTGATGAATTCCAAGTTTGCACGCAATTGATTGCCTAAAAGAATTTAAAAAAGGAAGAAGCAGCTGCTCTAGCTTTTTTGTGAATGGGAAATTTGGCAAATGGTGCACTCCGCTGATGAAACCACACGCTCGTAGAGATGATGGTACCGTGTGTAATCCATCCAGTATATAATTGCAAGAGTTCCTCCGAATATATATTTTTCCGTCCCTTTTCCCGAGAAAATTATCAAATAAATCATAAACCTGTTACAATTGCACAATATCAATCCATTCGGTCAATTTTGGCCGGTTGGTGCTAACATAGACGGCGGACGTTTTATGTGGCACGATCGGCGCTGACGTGGATAATATTTAATATTTTTTTTTCGAATTATTTATTTAATTTTCTTTCTTTTTTTTCTTCTTCCTTATTGCTCTGGCCGGCGAGGTCGACTTCGCCGGACACTAGCGGGGGTGAGCCACACTCGCCCCTGGTGAGGCTTGACCTTGCCATGGCTGGGCGAGATATCTCTTTCCCGGGGTTTGGTTGGTTGGTTGTTGGTTTATGCATGTTGAGTGTCGCGATCGACCTGAAAACCGCTCAATTCGATGTGTTGTGTTGTGTTGATAGGTTGGAAAGAACATGGTGGAAGAGCACCGGTGCCAAGCCCCGCACCTCTGCGCGAACAATTGCAACTTCACCTAGCAATGGCGATTTTGAGCCTCGCCAGGGGTGGTCGAGCCTTGCCCTCACCAAAGGAAGGAGGAAGAAAAACAAAATAAAGAGAAAGAAAAGAAAAAAGAACTAAAAAAATTCGAAAAAATATTTTTAAAAATTGTCCACGTCAGTGCCAGCGCCAGTCACGCCAAGTAAGACGACCGGCCTCATCGGCTGGCCAAAATTGGCCTAATAAACTGAATTGGCACAAATGCAAAAGGTTTAAGACTCAATTGGTACAAAAAAAGTTTATGCCTAAATTAGCACAATCACAATAGATTTAGGATTTTTTTGGTAATTTTCCCTATCTCTCTCACCCACAAAAAGTTCAATGTATATTCACTTATATCTTAATTAGCTCTTCCAAGAAATTATTTCTTTTTTCATTCCCACCTTTCCTTTCTCAGGGGTAATATGCAGGCATAATTTCAATTTCCAGTAACAAACAATAACATGTCATTCATATATTTTACTCTGAGTTAAAAGATAGCATCTCATTATCAACAAACAATATCCTACTAAAAGTTATCGCACATCATATCAACCGATGACGTAATATGTAAAAATATAAAAATCGATGTATTTCAATTGGCCGGTCGCACTATAAATAGTGCTCCTAAAAGAGACCAATCAAATGGACTGAGATTCTGGTGAGAGATGCTGTGAATATCCACTACCAAAAAGCTATGTAGTCATTTTCCTATGACCATATGAGCCTCCACTTCTTTTTCCCTAAAGTGAAGCACCTTCATAGCTGCTTTTCATACGAATCTTGAATGGCCATTACTACAAAAATTGCGCAGTACACCCATGATAAATTTTTCCGAGCTAACATAGAAAGATTATGGATTATATCTTTCTTGCAAATATCGCCAACTTTTGGGTGTCACACATTAATTATTTTAAATTAACTTTATGAAACATCTAACTTCAAATCGAAAAGATCCAAAAAGATAAATACATCGTCCTTTCAGGGTCTTTTACCTTTTTCGCTTCACACAAGCTAGACTTCTATTCTCGTGGAAACGAGCTTATCTTAGATAAATAGCGTTATGGACAATTAAATTTCTCCTTATGACAATATAATTTTCTTGTACTTTACTTTCGTCGCCCCCTTTTTGTCGAGAAAATGACTATGTGCTCATCGTGTGCGATTCTTGAAAATGAAATGGTTTGGTTTGACGATAAATAAAAAGTCAAGATGAGAAAGAGAATATTCTCTTTACTTTATTCACAAA